TAAAAGGGTATTATACATATAGTATCAGGAAAGGAATACAATATTTCAAAACCCTACTTAAGGACCAAAAGTTAATTTAAAATACTTTTATTATATTAATGAGAAGGTGCTTAAGTGATTATAATTTCAAAATTATTTTACTTAAATTAAATGTCCTTACTATTTTTTTAAAAAAAATATTTCATGTTAAATTTTGAGAATTCGATATCATCTGTTAAATTGAGGATGACGATTGTCAAACTTGAAGAGTGAATTAAGCTAATTTTATAATGTTCCATGTTAAACCTTAGAAATTCAATTATACATTATAAATTATTATGCAGTTAGTTGTAAAAATTATGTAAAATGACATGCTTATTAAAATACATTAAAATAACTAAGTAATTAAACTTATTAAAAATGATATGATTTTAAAACAATATATAAACAGATAAATGAAATAAAAAAACTTGAACCACATGAATCTCCATCTTTCTTTGTACGCGTAGTAGTAGTGATATGATAACGATGCATCCATAATGAATGACAAAAGTGGTGGCCTCATTATTTATTATACCAACATCTCCTAAAAGGTCTTCACGGAATCTTAATGCCACGAAATTTCCATTTTGTTAATTTCTAATTGATTTATTTATTGAGCAATGCTACATTATTTTCAATGAAACTGTGCTTTATGTCATTAATTTTTAAAAAGGGTATTAGCATCACATTAGCATATTTATTCTAGACGAGGGACGTACAATATTCTACATCGATTTTGATATACAAAACTTATACAAAACCTGTATTTAAGACTTAGCTAAAATCTGCTAATAAAAATATTTATAAATTACCTATTAGGTTACTAACAAAATTTTTATATTGGTAATAAGATTTAAGCTCATTATCTTGTATTATAAATTATGAGCCAAATTCTAACTAATTAAATGAATTGATTAGAATTTCTAAGGCTTGCTTTTTTTTTTTTTTTTATCAAAAGAGATATAGGAGGATAACAAAAAGCTTTCAAATGATGGCGGCCACATAAATGAGTTCCTCAAATAAATAAATAGATATGACGATGGTCTTACTTCGGTGATTCCTCACAAAATGACGTCATCCTTATCAACTTGGTGATCTGAGTGCGCGCGCGCACTGTGTATTATAAATAAGACAGAGCTCGTCTGCGTTTGAATAAGCAAAGCTTTATATTGGAATAATATATGGATATGGATATGGCTCCTGCAAGCTCCCAGATAAGTGTCTCCCAAATGTTCCTAAACACTTGTTCTTCTTTAACGCCATTCTGTGCTGTCGCACCTCAGTATTATCATCGCTTCTTTCTCGTTCCTAAGATTCACGATCTCCAAATAACCATGGAAACAATCTCTGAAGAGGAAGAAGATGATGACGATGACGACCTTGAAGTCCAGCCAATCTTCAATCTCTTGGACATCTGAGACTGATCAAACCCTCTTCACCATGTTTGAATTCATGTAGAGTATATATCTTCATGATTCATGTTGAATTCCAAGCTGCATAGTTTTTGTACAGTTCCAAGGGTTCATTATGATCATCAAAGCAAATCTCATGACTCAAAGAGTGCTTGTAGAGATTTGAGTATCTGTAATCTTTATTCTTCTATTTCTTGAGTCCCAAGATCAACATGTTGGCTCTTGAGCACTTTCAAATTAACAAGCCAAATTATCAGGCTAAATTATGCATTACTTCCCTAAACTTTGAATCACATACACAAAATCTCCTTAACTTTTAAAACTTTATAATGAACTCCCTTTCAATCTCATATTTATGAAAATAACTCTAAATAATCAATTTTATATATTAATTATTTATACATAACTTAAATTTTAGGAAGATTATCTGTATATTAATCAAAGTTTGAGAGCTTAAATATACATAAAAATAAAGTTTAAGGGGGTATATAATTTATAGCTAGGGATCATTTGCATAAATATGAAAGTTCAAGAAGGTTTTTTTATTAAATTTTAAAGGTTAAAGGAGTTATTTATACATGGCTCAAAGTTTTAAGAAAATTTTGTATAATTTAGCCAAATTATTATTTATATATATATATATATATATCATCAGCACAAAGATTTTTGGTTTCGGATTCTCATATTCGATAATTAAGCAATTCTTTTAGACAAGTAGTGTGGTGATGATGTTTTCTAATATGTAATTTTTATTGTCATAATGGAATAAATTACATAAAATTTTTGGTTTTGATAAAATTACAAAATACTCTTAATTTTGATGACAGAACTATACAAAAAGAAAGTCAGAACTCAAGCATCACAGTTTCTTCCCTGAAAAGTCCTCATAATGTCTTCAATAAGAATTTGAGGGAAGTTTGCAGGGAATTGCTCCAATGATGAAATCTTAACAAAAGATGAGAATATAACTTGCTAAGCAATCAACACTCCTATTATTTTCACAAATATCAATTAATTACTCCTTCCATCTCAGTTTATAAGAAATTTTTTTGAGTGATTTAATGTTTCATAATGTAAGATGTCTTGAAAAAAATAATAAATCTCTAATGAAATTTATTTTAAAATTACCCTTCATTATTTAATTCTTTAAATATTTTTCTCTTTGCCCATTTTTAAAAAAATGATATTTTTTAAAAATTTATATTTCTTTTTGGGACAGTTAAAATTCTAAACTATATATTTAATTTTTTTATTGCTCATAAACATTCTCTTATTGGTGTCAATCATATATTTAATTGATTTTATTTATTTTCATAATTTTTAAAAATTATTTTATAAATGGGGCAGAGGGATTTTTCTTTTTTAAATAATGGTTAAGAAAATTCTACCAGCAAAAAAGGAATTGGCCCAATCTTTGGCCCATGGTAGGCACATATTCTCACTTCCAGATCTGGGCCTACTTTGCCAGAAATTTCCTACCTTACTACCTATGACATTTTCAGGCACTTCGTTTGGAAATCAAAGCCACACACACACTCATATATGCAATTAATTAACCTCTAATATCTACTTAGGTATTTAAATATGGCTATGTATGGATATTTCCCCGTAGATATCCAAATTTTAACCAAAAATCTTATGTTTTGTTAGATGTTTGTTGTTGAACTTTTGTGAAAACATGAAGAATCTATTTTTAATGAGCCAATAATAAAACATATATAGTTGAGTAGTTGTAGAATAAACTTCCCCACATATTACATCCTATGATTAGAAAATCTAACCACACTAGTCAATTAAAAGTCTTCCTTACCTAAATTTTATCCTATTTTTAAGCCTCCAAAAGCATATTCTGGAACATTCAATTTACTTTCGAAGTCCTTTTTTTTGTTTTTTTTAACCAACCTAACAACTTTCTTTCTTTAGTTCACTGACCCACTGTATATATACACGGCTCCATTAATCTGCAAACATCAGCACAGACATTGTTCTGAGTTGTGAAGCAATATATCAATCTCTGAAGCCAATTAATTAAAGCCTAAAAAATTAATTGTGAAGAGATATATCAAAGATGGTGAAGCAAGTGAGAGGCATATGTGGAGAGGTAGCACCAGCAATGCTGATAAACCTTCAGAGATGTAACCCTAATTATCTTCCAAAGTTGGAGCCTATCATTGAAGAAGCGTCTGAACAAAACCAGTTCGAGGTTGTTTTGCCCAAAAGGATTGTCTTCGTTCTTCCTCTTTTTCTCTCTTTTGTCTCCTACTTCTTCTTGTATCCAAATATCAAGTTTTTCACTACTTGAATAAAATATGTTTTCAGGCATCATATGAGGCTCTCCTAAATTTAAGGTCATAAATATCATATGGATAATTTTCTAAGATTCCAAAAACTCAACAATCAACATCCTGATAAACTACATATTAAACTTGTGCGGATGATGACCTCTTGCTAATTAAGGCTGTGTTTGGTAATTTGCATACAATCTGAAGTTTGCAAGGATAATATGCATGTAGAATAAGCTTAAAAAGGCCAACAAGCGTTTGTCCTAATAAGATGGGAATGAGTTATAATTGTTTAAGTATGAGGTCTTGAATTTAAGTTTGTATTGTGAATGCAGAAATATTTTTAAAATGGCTACCTCAATCGAACTTGACAATGTTTTGAATATGACCAAGTCATATATATTAAAAAAATAAATAAAAGGATTATACAAATTAAAATATCACCAAAAGAGTTTGTTATCTCTCCGGTATTATTCTTCATTAGTGAAATAATGTATTAACAAGCAAAAAAGGGCTGTATAAGTTTCCAACTTGAGGTAGAGATACTTAATAAAGTTTTAATGGTTAGGAAATTATCAGCATGTATCACCTTAAATTCATGGTTCACTTAGGGAATTTTATAGTCTTCATTATGTATCACTGACATGTTATGCTCATTGGTAAAATGATAAATTGAATTAGAAGAGTTATCTGCGTAGATATATATACTTAAAAGCTTAAAAGAATTTATTGTCTTTGAACAAATTTCATTATTATGTTTTGAAAATTAGAATGTTATCGATATATATATTGTTCAAATTTCAACAAAATTCTATATATGAAATTTAATTTAGGCTCATAATGGAATGAAACCGAAGTGCATGCATCTTCAAAAACCTCCCCTTTTCATGAGAGACAAAAGCTCTTCTTGTTCTCACTCCCTAGAAGCCCCTCCATAAATTATCTTCTTGCTTAAATCTTAAAGAAAATGAGAGAACAGGTCATGAGAGACTAGATGATTATTTTAAATTATATGTTCAGAGAAGCTAATAGTTATAATGATTGGCTGTCATACCAAACTTTCAACATTAATTTAGATGCTGAAATTTTTTATGTTTCACCACCTAGATGCGTACACGTTTTGTATTCTAACATGACTTAGTTTGTTATTCTGTTGTATGGATTTTTTCACGGCAATCTATTAAAAAAATAAAAAACTTGTTGTGTTGAGAGATAAAACCTCTTCTTTTTGTATCAAGAATGTGATGCCGTAACAGCTAAACACAAATTAAAAGAGAACTAACAAAATGACTTTTACTCTATCAAGTATTAATTAATAATAATTGCAATCGTTTTCTTCAATTAATACATGAAGAATAGTAATAGTTTTTAATATATCCCTATGCAACGCATAGGGACTGAAATCAAGGCTACCTAGCTTACAGAAAAAGGAACACAGCCACAAAAGTAATGCAAAAAATGAAAGTACAACATCGTGATCAAGAAACTCAAACGAGTCTTTTTCATGATCTTCAAGAATGGGTTCCAATTTTGGATGACTGGAAGATTTCTCGTGAGATATCAAGTGGGAAGGTGCAACTTCGTCCCACTTGTTCGCATACTGAAACTCCATGGCAGATATAAATTCAGGTTCTTCTCTGGAACTGATAATGAAGAAAGGAACAGATTTCTGATGATAAAGAAAGAGAAAGATTTGTGTGTGGGATTGGTGACAGAAAGCGGAAGGAAAATGGGAATTTATAGTTCCTTTGAAGGAAAGGAAATGAGAAGGAAAGATCAGAGAAGCAGAATGCTAAGCGATGATGTGTCGTCATATGTCATTATTCTAGAAAGGTTAGTAATTTATTTGTGTGGAAAATATGTTAAGTAATTGAAAATTGGGATTAGTTTTTAGACTTCGTCAATTTAATAATTTAAAATTAATTAAAAAAAGAATGTAATTTTGTATTCACCGTCTCACGCGGAGAATCCAAGTCAACTGAATGAATTAATTCCTTAGCCTATTGGATTTCTAGATGCAGATGGATTGTAAGGTTATACTTTTTCTGTTTTCAAATAATTACAACAAAATGACTTTAGATCTGATTGTCAAATCAACGGGATGAGGCCCTCGTATTATGGATAACAATAATCTATATTTTTCATAGCTTTGTGAAAAATATAATTTGGTGCTATCATTATCATACTCAAACACTGTCAAGCTAATTAGAAATAGCTTTTTAACAGGATTTCTCAACTATCAACCTTATATGAAAATAATTTAATTATTTTCCCTCAATTTAACTAAAAGAAAATTATCTCTAGTATTGATATTGATAAATAATTTATTTTCCTTCTTTCCATTCCAATGTTCTCGGGCACTCCTCTCACCAATAATTTAATAGCTATTGCATACTTAAGATTTAAACTCAAAACATCTAGTTAAAAATGACCAATCATCTAACCAAGTAATCCAAGCATCTACTAGTGTTATTGATAGGTAATTGATTATTATATTTTTCATAAATAATTAATAAATTGTTTTAAATGTGTTATAATTGAAGTTATGCTTAAAATTGATATGTAAAACATCAATATCATGAAAGTGAAACCACAGAAAGTTCCATGAGCAACACTTGTTTCAGTTTCAGTCATGACTCAAATACCACATCTTAATATAAATTTTATATTTTATTGTGGTCGACAATATTGATGATTGGAGAGAATCCAGAATACTGAGAATAGTACAAGTACTGCAAAAGAGAGTTTTTGTTTCTAATGCGTTTCAGTCAACCCAAAGGGCTACATACTTAGCCATTACCATGTACAATTAAATACAACAGCTAATGTAACAAGAATGCCTATCATGTAAGATCAGCCTCAGCGAAAGAGAATATTTTTCAAGGGGAAAAATGTATAACTAATTCATCGTTAGAATATATCAGCTTGCAATGCTTGCTTGCTCCAAGATAAGTAGGCTGGGTCCCCATATGGCCTGCAAACAGGGGGAAAAAAAATCAGATGTGCTGTTTGCAAATTGTTACTAATGGGAATAATAATATACCCCCAACAAAAGTTATTCCAATTAGTAACCCATAACCTACAAGGTTGTGAATTCAAATTTTGTTGTTGATATAAAGATTTTGTAGGTGGACAATTTGTAAATGCTCTTTAAGCCTAAAAGCATGTCTTGATCTTGGTGAGCCCCTTGACCCTACTCAAACTTTTTTTTCTTTTTTACCCCTCCCCCCAACACGCACACACAAATACATTTACAGATGAATAAAATATTTGAAATATTTTTTCTCAACTCAACAGCACATTTTTAACTCCTTCTAGAAAGCTCTTAAAGAACTTGATAGGAAACACCTAAGGAATCATCTTATTATTATTATTTTCTACTCTTTGAAAATAAAAAATTCTGCGTTCCTAATCTTCCAGGAAACTACATGAAAGATTGGTTCAGGTTAGCGGGCTAACTGATAGGGATATTCCAGCATGACAAAAAGAATAGTTGAAAGCCAATTCCGCAATCAGGTCGAAAGAATGCCAAAAGCCACCAGACTATGTACGATAATAAATTACCTGGGATTTTTCACATGAAGCAACAAGAAGATGATGGAGATCAATATACAAAAGGAGCCAACAAAAAGATTTGCGAGTCCAAGAAAGTCATTTTTCCCACCCAGCCAGCTTGATGTTGACAGAACAATCTTCTTTTTCCCACCAAAACTGTAAGTGTTATAGTTATTCAATAGGTGGACTACGACAACATCATCCGCATCCAGATCCTCTTCGATTTTACCATACAACTTCCGGAAGCTAGGGAGAGCAGCAGTGCGCATCCATACTATAAGATCTTCTTGATCACTGAGCTGAAATGTGTGAAGCAGAATGGACAGCACAGGGAAGCATAATAAGATGATGAGAACTCATTAGAATCAGTAAATAAAATGACTGTAACAAGGAAAGAAAAGGACTACAAATGTTAACACGGAAAGATGAGAACGACACGAGAATTATGTTGTTAGAGATTATTTAAAATAAGAAAAGAAGAGAAACCATTTATGAGCCTTCATTTAAGAGTTTAAGGTTTCGAGGTGAATTGGTTCTTGAAGGTATTTCTCTCCTACAATCCCCCCTCCTTCACCCAATATTGTACATTCTTATCAATATCCGCATTATGATAAATGCTGTTCTCATCATTTCTAAACTATTCTTGGTGAATCATTATAACCCACAAGGAAGTCTATCAAAATAGATGAAGATAAAGAAAAAGGCATTGCAGCTGAAGCCATAAATCAATTGTGTTAGCATTAGAAATCAAATCTGGGTCATATGATAATCAAGAAGAACGCGCCACTTGGGGAGAAAATATGGTTAGAAGACTTACAGGAATGAGTGGATCCAGCTTTCCACCACCGATCAAGGTCCCATTCTGAAAATTGAATGGGTAAACATGCTTCCCAAATTTATGATCACGATCACTCTTCCATGCAATATTCTTCCTGTTGACCTTCAAATCTGATGGCCCTCGACTAAAGCCATATGTATCATTGAACAAACTCCATGCTATTAACCCACAAGGTACAATTGGTTGGTCATCAAAGGACTCTACAGGTTTACAAGAACTGGTGCCATTGTACCCAAGTCCCTGTAAGAGCTGCTGATCACTTCTACTTTTGACATACCTGAACAAGTTTTGAGGACTTCAATGACCATGGCAATTAACTAACTGAAACTAAATATATAAACACTCGTTTTTGGACAGAACGAAGCAGGAAAAAATAAAAAATGCATTTTATACAACTAATTTAAGAGTTTCAAATGCTTTCATGTACCCTACATGGTATTAATTCCATAAACAACTCAATCAAATGGCAGGAACCAGATGTCCAGAAAGCGTACCAAAAGGTGGGATGAGCTTTCTCATAGCTCAACTCACAAATTTTGGTTAACAATAACAACTAGGATTCAAGGGAATCGAAACTTGAGGAACATATTCCACAATTGCTTTTTCAGAGACAAGACCAAAAATGTCAAATGAAACAATTTGCAAGTATCATGTCGAGCCTAGAGATTCATAATTTGGGAGGTCTAAAAATTTTGAACAGCAGGAAAGCAAAATTTGCTTTTGAAGGAAAGAAAATTGTAGATATCTAAAATTGATTTTTTCAAGAGGACAAAGCACCAGCTCTCATTCTAGAACTTATTAAGAGGAAAAACATAATAATACTTGACTACATAAAGAAAGTGAGACAGTCATAGCCCCCAATTACTTAATCCCAAATGGTAGTTCAATTCTTAATTAAGTTTGCTTTTATGGATAGCCATGCAACAGTTTAACCTCAATTGGTAGCTCAATCCAGAATTCAGTTTGCTTTCACAGCTAGCTTTGTAATCATAATGCAAAGACTCGAGCTCAAGCCCTAAAAGTTTGCATCTGACCATTTCATATGACAATTGACTGCAATATCTTCTTCCTTTACACATAAATCATTCTGCGGGATTTTCTATAAGTGAAAATAGAGACATTCAACAAGCAGAAAAGATAATAGAGCAGGTAGGCGAAGCGACAACTAAAAACCAAATTGTCTTGAATGGAGACAAAGCCCAGCTTAGCTCCATTGCAAACACTCATGAAGTCATTGAGATCCCTAATCTTGAGGAGATAGTTATGAAATACAGCTTGCATGTAAATCAGGACCCAAAAAAAAAAAAAAAAAGAGCAATGCTCCCTCTAGTCCTATTTCTAAGTCACTTTCAACGTTTTCACCGGAATCAAGGAAAATCTTAAACTTCATTAACTCTGTCTAAAAATTTAACAAGTTTTCAACTTTACCCCTATTAAATATATTTATTCTAAAATAAAATACTCTAGCATTTAATAAACTTCCCTATATTTAATAGGGGCAAAATAGTAAAGATAAATATAATAATCATTGATGTGCCTTATAAATAGGACTAGAGGCGTATATGAGAGGAAATCAATGTGAAAGAGAAAGAACAAATGGGGAAAACGCAATTCCATGCAATAGCTGTAAAGGGAAATAAAGCATCCTCACCGTCGGTGGTTTTGGTAATAATTATCAAGCTGGTAATAGATATAAATTGGTGCTCTCATTGGCTTAGGTACCTACAGAAAAGTTACAAACACAATTAAGGGACCATAAGCAACGTCAACTCTATCAGTAGTTCTTTTGGCAAAGCCATTACTTGTTTTAGCACCCAATCCAAAAATCTCAATTATAATTGAAATGAGAAGAAAGAAAAGAAATAAGCCAAAAATGTATTGTTAGTGAAGCAACGGCAGAAAACAAAGGAAGTAAATATGAGCACAATATCATATTGAGCAATGTCGTAAGCCACAACACAAGGTTCTTGTTAATAGAGATATATGTCAAAGCTATCATTGGGCCTTCACTTAATAGTTTAATCTTTTGGTATGAAATGGTCCTCCACATGGTATCAGATCCTTCATGAACAAGTGGTCAAAAAATAGATTCTTACTTCCCTTCACTCTCCTAAATAAATTCAATTTAACACATGACATGGAGCGCTACTGTTTAGTCAATGCTTCAAGCCAAAAAGCCTCTTTGTGAGTGGGTATCCAATCATTTTTTGGGCCTTACATAAAGCAGCTAAATCTTTTAAGACAAAACGGTCCTAGGAATTTTCCAAAGTCCATAATAGGAAGCAATCATTTCTCTTTGCTGACAAGTACAGAAAAGTTCTAACTTTACCAGTTATAACATCAATATGTGAACTATTTCCGAAAACTACCCCACCCCATGGTGGTGTCCCCTAAAAACAAGATGTTAATGCTCTCAGACACCATACAATATTTCATAAAGTTCAAATGAATATTTATGCCCCCCAAAAGTTCACCTCATGCCTAGCATGCATACGTTTTTTAGTCAGAACTGCAGGGGCATCTTGAAAATTCAATAATAAATTGAGGTAAACTTCTGCAATTTCTTCACATCTATGCTTCATAGAAGCAGTTCATTGTTTAACAAAAAAACAAGAAGGAAAGAAAGAACAAATGGGCTGAAATCTTTTTCAGTACAAGATGACCTTTAATTCCATGAGAAAGGCACGACAATAAAGTTAAAGGGGTCAATTTTATGGGATACAACTATCTTCAATTTACTGATATTATAAGAGAAAGGAAAAGTTCTATTCTCTTTATTTTTGTTTTCTTCAGTCTTAATTCATCCAAACATGGGGAGTGAAAACCTCTATAATTTACTTTCCACCTTGAGGACATGGAGTTTTTTAATCTTCCAAAAAACTCGGACCACCAATTGATTTATCTAAATTGATTCTGACGGACCTGCAAGTTTTGGGCAGGTGAGGCTACAGGCTTATGTGAAGAAAATAAAGACAAAAGTTAGTACAAGAGGGCTGGCGAAGGCTGCATTATCTGTGATGAGGAGGCCAAAGGGAAGAGAGAGGCAATTGAGGGCTGTAACACATGCCCAGGACGTGAGGGGGTAAGTAGGAGGGGGAAGAAAGTATGCAGGTAGGGTTGGAGAGGATTGTTGAGGGGTTTAGGGTCTCAGAGGAGACAAGGAAGAATTTTGGCTAATGGTGAAGAGAGTGCCCAGTCTCTCGGATACTAGGTGGAGGGAGGAGCTGTGTCTCTTTATTTTCTTTCCTTTCCTTTCCTTTTCTTTCTTTCTTCCTTCCTTTTTTGTGATATCTTTTATGTCTCACTGTTTACTAGTGTGAGCTGAATATCTTCTGTAACAACCACATTTCCTTTATTGGAAAAGCTATTTAGCATTTAATATCAAATTTATTTTCATATTGAACCTTAAAATAATTGGAAATACAACAGAGAAAATGTCAGCAACATTTGGAAATTTTGTTACCAACATCAAAAGCAGCAAAGAGGAAGCAAACCACAAATAAAAATAGGATTAAAAGGAGCAAGTATCCACAAAATTTTGACGTTGCAAATTCCTGAAAAGGTTTCACAAAGATCAAACAACGACTGCAGAGATAATAACCACTAACTAATGCAACCAAAAGATAAATGATTAATCACCTTTAAGAATCGTGAACATTTTTTGGAGATTGAGTCATCTTTGATATATGCAACCTTGTTACTTCTATACTCTTCTGGCACGCATTCAACATCATACCTATCCACAATTTCAACAACCTACTATCCACAAGTCAAAAGTATATTCCAACAAGCATTAAGCTTTTGAAGAGAGAAAAGAAAAAAATCACTGCATAATATTAAAAGAAAATAGAAATGTAGTTTACATTATAGGAAGCACGAAGAGTAACAAGCCCAACAGGAATGAAAATGCAACTCATCAATAGAAAAGTAGCAATGACCTGCATAGCACATGATTGAGATTTAGCATGCACATTTTATGAAACAAAGCACCTATTAATATCCAAATAATGTCAAAGAACTTACTGTTGCTGGTGTCAGGACAGGCTTACAAGCTGGAAGGTTCTGTTGTGTAAACTGATAGAATGCTAGAAAGCCGCCATTGACATCAAGTTATATTAAAGAAGTACAAAGGTTCAAGATTTTAAAAAGAAAGTTCATGCACAGAGACTTGTCTAAAGGAGAAACACGAGATGCAGTTAAAAGTAAACCACTTCACAGGACTGACTTTCTAGTCTATGCAAAAGACAAAATCTGCACTAAATTTGATTCATCCTCCAAGTCAGAGTCACTTTTCACAAAAAGACAAATATCCTAAAATGCACTGAAATAGTATGTAATGCTCTCCAAATATATTACAACTGAACAAGTACTCTCCATTACAATTTTCTTTCACAATAGCTAAACAGACAGTGACAAACGCTCTCATTGGCCAAATCACCAATTTGCACATCTTCAGTAAACCATAGAAACTTTTTTTTTTTTCAAGCGCATTTAATTTTGGCAACAACTGAACATCTATTGGATTTTGATGGGCATCCAAGTGAGATGAGGAACCCTCCCCGAAAAGCTAGCTGTTGAGGTGGGAGAACCAACCTACTTATATACCTCATTGAGTATCCCACACTACTCAATGTGGGGCTTGGTATCCTCCACTACCGAGTCACCATCAATTGGCCCCCCATGGAACGTCCTAGCAGCTGCACTCCACAGCACCTAACCCTGCCTCCTTCTAGTAAGAACCCTCAGTGGGTAAGCCTCTCTAGAATCACCGACAATGAGGCTCTGATACCAATTAATGGGTACCCAAATAGAATGAGAAATCCTACCCCAAAAGCTAGCTGTTGAGGTGGGAGAACCAACCCACTTATATACCTCATTAAGCATTCTGTACTACTCAATATGGGACTTAGTATCCCATACTATCAAGTTTCCATTAGATCCTATATAGAATAGACCAGACTATCCCCCACATTTTATTTCACTTTTAGTCTCTAAATTCTTTTCTTCTCAATTCTGTTTGCAATGTGAACCTCAGATTTGAAGAAGTGGAAAAATAACTGATTTAAATATATAACTATGCTGCCACATCTTCCATCGCTAAATATTTTCTGACAGTGAAAAAGAATAAAAAAAATAATAATCAAATCTCAATGAAGTCAGTAAATGGAATGTCCAAAACAAAAATGGACCAACCATCTTTTTGACTGCTGATAACAATTACACATGATTTGATCTTAGAGAAAATGAAAACTACAACCTAGTCTTGAAATAAGGAGAGATAGCTTAGAGAAACCATTCCCCTGCATCCCATGAAAGTAAGGAACCAACTATAATCTCAAATGTCTAGATGATGTCCCAGTAATAATCCAATATATAACAGACCATATTGAATAGAGGAACCAGACGTTATCAGAAATTAAGGATATAAAAACATCAACAGAAAAGTCCTCAATCATGGGCATAAAGAAAAGAAACAATTGAAAAACTGCTGTAAGAAACAAGAAAAACACACCATTATTTTGCCTTGAACGTGCTGAGATTGATTGGGAAGCTTGGCCTCCTCTTCCAACTGTTGAGGAACTCCCTCCCTCAACTTCCATTATTGCAACTCCCCAAGAGTCAAAGATACGGCTCAACAACAACAAAAAATTCCACCAGCACTTGCATTCTCCCAACACTGCATTGAAAAAATTTTCCTTCAGTTAACTAGGAAATAGCTATAATTTGTCATTTAATCGTTAATACCTAGTTTCAAAGAATATAGAAACTTCTCATTTATTTTTGAGGAAAGGGGGGTTTCGGCAGGGTGGGAGCACATGACATATTGCAATGCACTAAAGCTAAATCTGTCCATGCAATAGCAAATTTGTGCCCTATTCTCTTTCTTAAACATTTAAAAGTAAGGGTGAAAATTCCTATAAGATCCATATCCAAGAGCAAAAGTGTTGACTAAATCTATTCTTTATTTAGATCATTGGACAAAGAGAAATAAGAGAATCTTAAAGTCATGCAGCAGAGAGCAGGCCTATATGAAATTAACATAAGACTACAAGATGTCAACCTTGATAAACATTTCTACAGGTAAGTTAATCCTAGATATTTTTTAAGAAAACAACTAGCACCTCTACTCATATATAATCATGCTCGAAAGGTAGAACTGCATCAAAATAGATATGGAACGAAAAAACATGCAATGAAAGCTTAGTTATAGGTGATTAGAGAGTTTCCTCTGACATAGTTGTCTCATTCGAGGAAACACACAAACAATAAGCCTTAACAGTTGACTCTACTTCAAAGGAGATCTCATCCCTAGAATAAGTAATCTCCACTCTCAATCATATATGGAAGTGATATACATAGTTATATACCAAATATCCAACGCATTCCCAACCAGCCGTCTTATTTATGGTGTGGAAGCCAAATGTTCGCTCCAGTCCTGGCTGGAAAACTTCAGTTTATAACGACACAAATTTCTCCTTTGCAAATCCGTGTTTATTCATAATAAATCAAATTGAGCCTCTCAAATAAAGATAACAAATTCCCAAAACACAACCTATACTCAACCAGAATATTTACTGAATTAATCTGACCGTTTTAAGCTCAATCTAAACGAGAAAAAGAATTCAAAAGATAGCCTAGGCTAACATAATTGCGATCCTTTATCTGCCCCTGAGATTTTCTCAGCAACTTAAAATATTACCTGGTAATTTACGTTGATCCCAAGTTTGACTAAAGCACAAGTTGAACTCAAATGTCTTTTGAAGAGAGATTTGGAAATGAAGAAACTGAGTTTCCCAGGTGGATAAGGTAGCGAGGGAAGAGATTGCTTACCTAGAGAGAATTTGGAATCACTGAGCACTATATTCTTCGCTTACATAGCGGGAAGGAAGCGATCACCTGCGTTGCGAGCCACGAGCAAGAGAAGAATCCCAAGGTTCCAATTTTCTGTTCATGAAATCGATGTTCATGAATTACTAATTTACTATTACTATTTGTTACGTAAGAAATAAGAAATACTCATCTCCATGCCTTTTCTTTTTTTCTTTTTCCCCTTTCGGCCTCCACCCATCTTTATGCTTTTGGTAACAATTTATGTCTTTGGGAGAAAAACGAACATGAATAATAAAAAACTAATTGAATTCAAATGAAATATTTGAGTTGTACTATTACCATCTCAATTTTTTTTCTTATTTAACAATCTAAAAAGTATAATTTTTTTAAAAAATGTTCGTTATGCATGATATTTTTGATCAATTTAATCTCTTCTTATTAAATTAATTTTAATTTAATGAAATTATGACAAATAAAATGTATCAAATCATAATCGTCAAAACTCAAGTGAACAATGCCTGTCTTGCCCAAAGAAAAAAAAATAGTGAGAAATAATTTTAATTTCTTCAATACTTTTCTTAACGTTTGGATGAGAACAAAAAATGGAAGGGGAAAAAACCTAGGAAAGCAAAACTTTAAAAACTATTGTTATTTTTAAAAACTTCTTCTTCAAGTTTTCTTCTCACTTTCTTTCTATCCAAACCAGGTTTTGAAAGTCAAAATGAGGCGATGTACTAGCTTATACATCCATAACAGGCTATTGGGGAATTCAATATAAAATTTGCAGATAATTTAAACTGTAATAAAATCATATAAATTGATATTGATGATTGAAGCTTCTTTTTCTTGTCACTTTGAGAAATATTGTCAGACAGACCCTGGGCTGAACTGAAGCAAGTGGAGACATTCACTCTGCATGCATGGAGACATCTCAGAAGTTCTTCGAAGTTGATGGCCGAAGAGAACCAGCTAGCTCAGAAACTCGTGATCAATTAACAATTTAAATGGGAAAATACTTGAGTGAAAAAACACTTAAAAAAAAAACAAAAACAAAGTAGGCGTTTGCCATCAAAATTTTCAATTAAAATTATTACATCTAAAAGTAGGCTTTCTATAGAGTCAATAATTTGCTGCCGTGAAGTACGAATGTTCACTTGTCATTCTTCTAGTTGAACTTGATACCACACAGCTACTTAAGTAATGTCCTTTGAGATGGCCAAAACATCCATTAACAATCCAACCACCACTTTCAATTTCATTTATGGAAACACTGCTTTTCCAACATTGCTCATATTACGCAAACGCAGACTAGAACCCAATCGACACTCAGTTTCAATCCAGCTCTTACCAGGCATCTTCTTAACCCCTCTATCTTCCATTAACTTCCTGATCTCCACAGCATCATTCCATCGGCCTACTGCTCTATAAATATTACCCAGAAGAACATAACTTAGATGGTAATCAGGTACCAGCTCAATCATCTTTTTCGCAATTCGCTCTGCCGTGATAGGGTCTGAACATTTGGTGCATGCTCCAAGAAGAACTGCCCAAAGTGATGAATCATATCTACAATCTGCATTTTCTAACAAGTTTTCAGCCTCTTCTATCAGCTCAGCACGGCCTAAGAGATCGATCATGCACGTGTAATGCTCAACTCCTTGTTTAATCCCATAGTCCTTTGTCATTGAAGCAAAATACTTTCTACCTTCATCAACCAAACCTGTATGACTACAAGCAAAAAGGACAGCAATAAAAGTTATATAGTCAGGCTTCATCCCCTCTCCGATCATCTTCTCAAATAACTCAAGCGCTTCTCTCCCTCTTCCATTCTGAGCAAGCCCACCAATCATCGAGTTCCAAGTTATCAGATTTCTAACTGGCATAAGTAAGAACAATCTATGTGCAAAATCAATGCAGCCACATTTTGCATATAGATCAACTAAGGCTGATTCTACGATAACATCTCTCCAACCACCCCTTCTCACGTACTGGCAATGAGCCTCTTTCCCCTGTCTTACAGCTGCCAGAGCTGAACATGCTCGAATGATAGTCCCAAAACTGTAAAGATCCACTTCTTTCATTTCCCTGACAAGATTGATCACAGTTTCACATTCTCCATTTTGACAGTATACACCAAGCATAGCAGACCAAGAAATTGCATTCTTATTGCTCAATCTGTCAAAAACACTCTTGGATTCGCCAATAGAGCCACATTTTCCATACATATCCACAAGACTACTCTCAACAACCACATTTCCACATAGCCCTGATGTAACAACTTTAGCATGAACTTCTTTGCCCTGCCTCAACCTCCCCAAATTAGCACAAGCTGTCAACACTGTCCCAAATGTAAATCCATCTGGGGATAGCCCATGATTTCTATGCATAACATAAAAAAACTCCAAAGCTTCCTCAAACAAATCATTCCTTGTTAATGCGGAAATAACTGATGTCCAGCATATAGCGTCTGGTTCAGGCAATTCATCAAACAACCGGCGTGCGTCCTGCACACCATGGTTTCTTCCATACATATCAATCAGAGCACTAGAAATAACATGATTCGAATCAAACCCCCGCCTTATGACCATCCCATGGAAGCATCTTCCTCGCTTTAAATCTCCCAGCTCTGAGCATGCCTTGATCACGGCCGATAAAGGAAACCCATTAGGTTCAACGCCAAATTCAAGCATTTCCCAGAACAATTGCAAAGCATTTCGGGGCTTCCCCACTCGAATGTATCCAGAAATCATTGAACTCCATGACACCACATCCTTCACAAAAAGACCATCAAACACTCTCCGAGTCTCCGAGAAATCGGGACCCAATTTGAAATACAAAGCCAGCAAGCTGTTGCCGACAAACCGGTCCGTTTCAAGACCAGACTTGATAACATGGGCGTGGATTTGGATGCCATGCCCAAAAGAAATGACCTTGGTACAAGTCTGAAGCAGGGAAGCGTATAGAATTGGTTTGATACTGATATCACCAGAATTAATAGTGTTCAGAAGCTTAAGCGCCTCAAGAAGAGCACCAGACTTACAGTGTTGGAGGATTTCGGACTCTTTGATTGATGGCTTCCTGGCGTTTCTGAGATTAGAGACTAGATAGCTGCAATGGCGTTTAAACAAGAGCTTCATCAACTTGAGACGGTGCTCGCGATGGTATGGTTTAGGACTCGGCCAATATGAACTGCATTGGAGCCTGTTCCCTTTCCCCCTTTTTTTTTTTTGGAAAAAAAAATTGAGGCCCCTGAATAATTATTTGATTATCTCTTTAAATTTTATCTTAGCAATTTTCTATAGAGAGAAGAGACACACGCATCCACGTGTATACGCAACCATATCAATGTTAAGAATGAACTAAGGTCTCTTCTAAGTAAGAGAGGTGGTATTACACTACAATTACTTTACATGTAAAAAACACTTAAAGTTCATTATTTCAATTTTAATCCCTTTCACATTTTCCCAAGTAAATCATACATGCCACATCCTTAATCAATTCTAAGGAGATTTACAACAATTAGTCTTTGTATTCCATATTATCTAACAAATAAAATTACCAACAATTTAATGAACAGTCCTTTCAATAATTGCATTAATTGGAATTTTGCTTATCCTTTCTCTTACTTGGACTTTCACTTGAAATAATAAGTGATGAGGGCTGGGCTTTCGTGGAGAAATTTCATTAGCATACACAACCATTCAATATATACATGTTACCACTCAAGCACATCCATACAAGCACATATAACTTTCCAACATCAACTAGCAAAGCAAAGAGTGTAAGAGTTGGCGACATTTCACAACACATACATTAAATTCGCCAGGCATTGTTTATATGCACAATCACATTCAACATACCAACTTATACTTTGAAACATAATTCTTTCATAAAACAAGAAAACAATCGAGGTATAAAGGGTTAAGAGTTAAAAATGCCTCCCAATTAAGCAGAAATGTTCAAGATTTTTTTTAAAATAAAAAAAGCATCATTTATATCCTTGAACTACTAACATTTTTAATTCCATCACCCTATCATCTCTCCGTCAAATTTCATTATTAATAGGACTTACATTTAAATTTTTAATATTTTTAATGGATTCTACCATTTTTTTTATAGACTTAAGAGTCTAAAATGCCCGTCAATTAAACATACAAGGCCAAGGTCTCTCCTAAAATAAAAAAAAAAATCATTTGTATATTTTAACTGTTAAGATTTTTTATTCCATTGATCTGTCATCTATTTCGTCAAATTTAACCTTTAGTAGAGCCTAAATTTAATTTTTTTAATATTTTTAATAATTTTTGCCATTTTTTTATATTTTTAATAGGTCTCCTCAGAGCTCAAGTCGCACCTTCGAATGAATCTCTATTTATACTTGTAAAAATTTAAACTTCACACTATCTCTCCAATGGCTCCAAACTTGATTTTTCTACCATAATCCCAAACATTGCTCTCAAATCTACCATTGCTAAATACTACTAAAACTTTGCCAACCATTACAGGAACATGCTTCTGTTGCACCCTTCAACATGATCATTCACGATAATAACAAGCTTGCAATCAACATGTTGGGTGCTCTGCCACCTACCACCACTCCACTTGCTTCAATCTAAGAATGAGTGAATGAGAGGGAATGAAGGGGGGAGGGAGCGAGGAGATATTTTTTAAAAATTATAAAAATACTTAAAAATAGTAGGACCCACTAAAAATATAAAAAAATTTAAATGTGAGCTCTAAGGATGAAAATTAACACAATAGACAATAATAATGGAATGAAAAATCTTAATAGTTGAGGGATATAAATGATATTTTCTTAATTTTAAGGGTAATTTTGATCTTTTTTGCTTAATTGAAGGGTATTTTAGACCCTTGACTTATAAAAATATAATAAAAAATATGAAGTGGGTTCCACTATTATATTTAATTATTAAAAAATATTTTAAAAATTCATGTGGGCCTCGCTAACGAATAACTAACACCAAGAGCACGAAGGAAGTAAAATTTTGGAATTAACGAATAAAATTAATCTCAAGTTGAGTTTTAAATGATTTGTAAACTTTCATATACAGTTCAAAAATAAAAATGACTCTCAATCCAAATATAAATATAGTCATGTAATTAAACATGCAAACAAAGAATGGTAGTACCGCTACCAATTAAACACAATTCTTACATTATTTTGTTCTTTCGCTTTTTCTCCCTTTTTTTCTGTCTCTTGGGCTTAACTTTAGAAACATGCCTTGTCATGGTTTCCAATTCAACCACTTACCAAAGAATAAAAGCCTGTTTGCCAACATGTTTTAAAAATAATTTTTTATTCTTCATAATAAAAGGATAAAAAAATCTATTTGATAATATATTTTTAAAAAATATTATAAAAAATAAAAAAACAAAACATTATTCTGAAAAATAAAAAAATAAAAACAACTTTCAATAATTTTAAAATTATTATTCTGAAGAATAAAAGAGAGCGAGAAAAATCTTTATTTTTATTATTTTTTTCTTCTCAAAACATATTTTATAAAATACTAATTTTCAAAATAATAAAATAAAAATAATTTCAAACAGCTCCTAAAATCCCATCATCCTGGTTTTAGCACTTGAATTGTTGAAAACATATACGAGGACGCATTAATTTTACAGTTTAGCATCGTTTATTCACTTTTTCAATCACCTGAAACAACTAAGAAAAATTTGAGATTTTAATACACAAATAACTCACGAAAATATGGTATTAGTGTCAAATTAAAATGCTCTAAGGAAATTGGAGCAGTGCTGAGAGACTTGTGGTTCAAACACCACCTTCTTTAATTTAGGGGAGTGCCATAGATTCTCTTTCAGCAGAGTTATAGAAAACATACATATCACGATGAGCTTGTCGGCCCCTCAACGATCCCTACATATTATTAGTGTTTTGACCAATAATCTTGAGGTAAATTTGTTATTTTATGTGCTCAAGCAAGAGGGTGTCTCACAATGATGCGATTCTTAGCCTGTGTTCAAAATTTTCAAATTTGCTACATACAGTTTGGTCAATATACACAACTATCATGTCCTTGTAAAATTTTCAGTCAATGGCTTCTCAAGCCTTCCCTGTTTCGGTTGTAATGTGTACAGTATGACACTGGGCTTAACAATTGCTGCCTGCAAACATCACAGGAGAGGACGAAGACCCATCAAACCAATTAGGCAATTACGTCAAGGAGACCCAACAAATCCACAAAAGAAACCATTTTACCTATGCTTTGACTACATATGACCAGATTCTTTTCCATGAGCTGATCAAACCATGAGCAGAAAGATGCCCTTCAAAAATTCTCTCAGCTGTGGGTCCCATTTCATGAACAAATTTGACAGATTCTGACAGTCGATTAAGGAGATTCATCAAGGCAATTACTTCATTTCTTTGCAACTGCAGCTGAAGACAATGAAGTACATCATGATGAGTTTGGTTAGCCAAGTGGCCATAGAACACAACTCACAAATACTCGTTAGTTTGTTAAGGATTAATTTGAAAGGTACAGGATTACTAGTAGTAAAAGCTTCAGGGTCGCTAAATGTTGTGCATCACAAAAAGATTTTACTCAGGCGTGAAAATATCATATACAGCAAGCTAGCATAGAAGGATATTAAGCATATTCAATTTCAAGCTATCATCAGCTTAAAACAGTTTCCATTTAAAAAATACTTATGAGAGAGAGAAAATGTTTAAAAAAAAAAAAAAGCCCAGTTGTAGGGGTTAGCTTCTGAGTTCTACAAACTTTCTTAAAGGGGTTAATAATGTGATAATGAGTTGTAACAATGCACAAATGTTACAAGAGAATTTCATTTCATGACAACAATAACAAGTCTTATCCAATTGGGTGGGGTCGGCTACATGATTTATACGACGCCATTATGTTCTATCATCAATCAAGTTAGCAAGATTTGTCATGTCATAACAAAAATACAAAAAACTTCATCCGAGTGTTATATTCACAAATTAGCAAGATGGAAGGACTGGCCAGTGGATGGAAAATATATACAATGCATAACAGCAACAAACGAGAGCAAAATGAACTTCCAAAAAATGCACTTACTGTTTGATCCCCATTTTCTTGACCATCGACAGTAAAGAGAATTTTTAATGCTGTCCCCAGACCCTGAACCTGAAGTTTTCCCCATAACCGACACTTCTCGCATCCCACACAATCCATTATTGCACTGCATGCCACAAATGATTAAGCCATTTCTAATGAGATATATATCAAATGAAGCAGGTTGCAAATTGAATCATTAGACACATAATAGTGGAAGAACAGGCATAAATTTCCGTTTTGTTTTCCTACATCAGAGTTCAATTCCCCACATAACAAGGAGTTTATAGATAAACCTGTTTCGTTTTTCTTTTTCTCCCCTATATATACCTTGCTATATAATAGGAGGAAATAGAACACATTGCTAATTAATCTTGCTTCTTAAATATGTATCAGAATACAGAAAACTAAAGCATTAATTCAGAAGAAACTATGCTGCCACAAAGTTCTAACTAAAAAAAATTGGAGCTTCTCAAATTCGTAGATATATAGTAGAGGCCAATGCTAAACCTACTAAATTTAAGGAGATACCTAATATTTCGGAACTGCTGTTGAATTTTCTGTTTAAGCTCCGGACCACTTTTGCCTTTCCACAGCTTAGCTTCATCAAACGGAACCGGACAAGCAGCTTGAAATTTGGGGTTGTAAAGCATCTGTCTCATCAAGGATTGTGTCTTAAGGTCCTCAATGGGGTTCCCTGTATCATATTCAGCCTGTTCTAGATACTCCCCAGCCTACAGAGTATTCGGTTGTGGATAGTATAAGAAGCATTATCAACTAGTCGTAAAGACAATTAAATGACATGATGACTACTGACTTATGCGTAAAAGCAGAAGGACAATCCATACTCACTTTGGTTACTGCTCGTAGGACAAAAAGGAAAGTGAAGTACAAATTTCTGACACGATCTGGGTATTTTAAGACTCGATCATACATCAAAGTAAGATTCTGACCCCACTGAAATTACAAAAGAGAAAAGAGAATTAGGCATATAATTAAGTCTGTTTTAATTTGATGTTCGTTACTTTAACAGTTCCATTAGTCAAAGTAGGGTTCTGACCCCATTGGAATTACCAAAGAGAAAAGAGCAAATTAGGCACATAATTAAGTTTGCTTTAATTTGACGTCCATTAGTCAATAAGTTCTATTATTCCAAAAAAAAAAATTAAATCAAAAAATTTGAGGCTAAAAGCCAAAACCAGTTTGCAGTCCATTCACGTGATGAAATAGATGATGAATTGTACCAATCTGCAAAAGCAATGCAGATATTCATTTGAAACGAGGATCAGCAGCTACTGACAAAAAAGAACTCAAAATTTACCAAGTTTGACGCTTCATCCAGTAGATAATCAGCAGCTATATGTATCGATATGGAGGAGTGAAGACCAGATATCAATTTATACAAAATTTTTTCCTCCTGGCATAACTCTTCAGAGGGATCTATAGAAGGCAAAAGTTTTCTCATCAATAGATTATAAAGGACGCACATAGATATCTATTTCACATACAGTACCAAACATCAACGTACAGCAAGGAAAACAATTACTCTTTCGTCCTTGCTTTAAAGATAATTATTCTCAAAAGTAAAGAAACAACGAGAGAATGGCTGACATCTTTAAATTTTGAAAGTGCACACCCAAGTAGATAACTTCATCCATTGAAGAAAAAGCCAGATAATAAAGAGGTCGCTCACTTTAAAAGATAGTTTACTCCTGCATCATAGAAATTTATCTGGTTCCAAAACTTAATTAGAAATCCCATAAGCTCCATAGGAGCTCTGATTTATTTTGTTTTAGCACTTTCTAGGTTGTATAAAGAAATTATGTAGAAATAATGGGGGTTAAGGAGAAAAGACCAAAGGTTATAAGCTTTTTACAGGCAACTCACATTTAGGGCAGTTCTCAGAATAGATAGCATCCCATATCCTTCTTGCAGATGGACCACTGTAACCAGTATATCTTTCAGGATTCAGTTGAAGATTCACATAAGTCAATTCATCTGTACATTCAAAGAGGCAAAGTAGCATCAATTGAGATGCTTACTTTCTTGAGTCTCAATATACCATGAAGACCAAAGTCAACTATGAATATCAGTGACAATACTCAAGCATATGTATGTATGTATGTATGTACTCTTCTGATCCTATTTACAAGTCACTTCCAATATGTTTTATCAATATCAAGGAAAACCTTACAACAACAACAACAACAACAAGCCTTTATCCCACTAGGTGGGGTCGGCTACATGGATTGCAAGACGCCTCATTAATTCTATCTTAAAATTTAATAAGCTTTCAACTTTGCCCTCATTAAATATATATAATTCAATCACATTTTCTCTCTCCAACATTCAATAGAGGATGAAAGAGAAAATTTGTGATAAAAATTTAATGACATGACTTATAAATAGGACAAAAAAATTTTTCTCTATCTACCCTATAAATAAGAGCAAAAAATAGTATTTTGTATATATTCTTTTGGTCCTATTTATAAGTCACTTCCAACATGTTCCACCAATATTAAAAAAAAATCTTAAATCTCATTAATTATGTCTGAAAATTTAATAAGTTCTCAACTTTGTCCTTATTAAATTTATACATTTCAATAAGATATTTTCTCTCTCCAACATTTAATGGAGAGTAAAAAAGAAAATTTGTAATTAAAATTCAGTGATATAACTTATAAATAAGATTAAAAAAAATTTTCTCTCTCTGCCCTATAAATAAAACCAGAGGGAGTAGCATTTTGCAGATTCAGCAGGATAAAATGAAAAGTTGTCTAAAAAGCTTTCATATATATACATATATATAAAGTGACAAACCATTGTCGGTCTCATCATCATTTGTCCAGGGATTGTCAGTTTCTGTCCATCCTCTGAAAGCTTTTCTATCTACGGTTCGATCAACAGCTGCTTGAGGTTTTCCTTCTTGACAAATAAGGTCATCCAATGGAAGGCGGTGAGGCTTCTTGAATAATTCCGGAAACTCACTATCTGGACATTCACATACACTGCAGTCCCGCAAGCGACACATACCATCATCAGGCCAAAAGGGGCAGTCACACCATAACTTAACCTACCACAGAACAACAAGCGTTTATCACTCATTGTATAAGTTTAGCAGCATTCATACATTAAACATTTTAAGTAATCAAATGCACACACCCTACTGACCATAAAAAGATGCACAGACATACCAAACGATGTCATATATTAATTAAAGATTTTCCCAATGTAAGAGAAAAAGAGAAAATCAGCAAACCTTGAAATATCGAAAGAATGAGGTTTTCACAAGCTCCTGAAGTGATGGATACAACACTTCCACATTAAGATTATTCACGGTCTCATAATCACAACAGCAATCCTCCACTATCCCACTATACTTGTGAGTGCCCTGCAAAAGAGGGGGGAAGGACAAATATTGATCACAAAGCAAAAATGCAAAACACAAAATAAGTGATTATGTAGCACAAAAAGGAATTGGCAGTAAATGACTTTCTCCAGGCATCTGAAATTTAAACAAAGACGAAAAATTTTGATGATAAGATTTGTCCAGAAGAAAGCTTCTAACTGATATGTCTTTCCCGGAAATTTGATGATCCAAGTATAATATTGAGGAGAAACAAGTAAAACCATTATGATCAAAGACTACACTAGCAGAAAGATTTCCTTCTAAGTCGTAGGTTTTCTAAAAACCACGTCAGGACTTGCAATTTGGATACGAAGGTACATATTTCACAGTAATCAGAAGAACTGTGGCGCAAATTGACGATCCAATATAGGGGCTTTGTGACCTTGAAGTCAACCAAAGCACAGACAAATTACCTGAGCACACTGACAAGCTCTGTTAATAGCTCCAAAAAGAGATATTTTGGGAGAAGTTGAAGATGACATAGCCATGGCAACAAACACCGCAACGAGAGCAACCAGCACCCAAACCCATCGGATCCCATAGCCTTTCTTCTCGACCTTCGAACCCATCTTGTCCGAATCTGAACTAATATCCGTGCTTTCGACACAAAGAGCCAGGATTCTCCGAAACCCAAGAGCTATTGTTCAATGGCTGAGAGAAAACCGACCAAGAGAAGAACGAAGGGAAAAATCTCAGACTGCCTGGAATAATCCCAGTAGCGTGAGTTTCGGGGAAATGCAATGTGGCGAAAGAGTTGCACGCATTTAACGCGCGTCAGTGGGGTTAGGGGAGGTTTTACTTTTCTAGTCCAAGGTCTTCTTAGAAAGGAAGAAAATCAAATCTCAGGATTCCGGAGGCAGGAATTGAACTTGAGGACGATGGCCGCTGTTTATGGTTTTCCATTAAGACAAACAATGGGCAAGAAAGAAATAAAGGACCCCGTTGAATTCTATGACTAAAACAAATTTAATCTTTATATTTAATTAAATATGTATAAAAATAAAAATACCATAATACCCTCAACAGATTTCCGTCCGCCACCCAATGGCTTTCCCGCCGGCAATAGAACAGATTCAAATTTGATTCAACCCAGATCAAGATTTCAACTCAAATTAAATCGATTTGAACAAATTCCAACAAAATCGGGTTAAATTTCATAAGCGAAAAAAAAAAGAAAAGATTCAAACAAAAATGTTAATTCGCAACCCAAAATCTGGGATTCCAAACAAGCAAAGGAAGGCGAAGAGGAGAAAGAGGCAGCCGTACGCTGGTGGCCCCCCCGCAAGCACAGATTCACAGAGAAGGAGGTGACGATAGCGGAGAAGAATTAGGTGGCGCCCGCTAAGGAGGTGAGGAAGGACGAAGGAATACGGGGAGGAAGAGGTGTCGCCGGTGGTGGTGGTGCAGAGAGCGGGATCGACGATGCGGGAGAAGGAATGCCCACAAGCACGAGGGTATTTTTGGCATAAAATATCTAAATTTAGAACTTGTAAAAAATAATAAAAATATAATTATAAATTAATGGCATTGCTTTATAATTATATATAATCGTATATATTACTTTTATTAAAAAATATAAAATATTTTTAATTAAATTTTACCTTAATAAAATAGTTAATTATTTTTAATTAATAAAATATTTTAATATAAAAAAATATAAAATCATTTATTCAATAAAAACACTTTAGAAATAAAAAAAAATAATTATATTTTAAAAAATTAAAAATATCTTACATTTTTAATATTTAATTTTTTAAAAAATATCTTATATCTTTTAATGGAAGAAATAATTATTATTAATTTTAGTTTTAAAATTTTAAATTTAATTTAAATTTTAGAGTTTTAATTATTTATAGAACTCTATTATTTTAGTTTTTTATTTGTTAGGTTTTTTTAGGTAAAATTTATAAGATTATTTATTAGAATTCGATTAGGTTAATATTAAAATTATTTATTTTATTGCCTTGTTTGTAAAACTGTCCAAAAGTTGCTATTCAAGAAATCTATTATCGTGAAGGAACTCATATCTTTTTTGGACAATGGGAATGAAGTTTAAATGTAAAATGATCAAATTGACTTCATTAAATTAAAATAAAAATATGGAAAGTCTTCATGAAACTATCTAATTACCAAATTGCCCCTACTATCTTAAAAAAAATTATTAAAACTGTTCATATGCATTTGTGGAAGGCTTTTACATTTGACAAAAAACAAGTTGCATCTCATAGAAGATATGTTGCATTTATAGAAGATATTTGCACATTATGAGAGATTGTTGCATCCAATGGAAAGAATTTGCACGTCCTTAAAGACTTTATGCATGGCCTTCGTGGAAGATTGTTGCAACTCATGTAAGACATGTTATATCTCATGCAAGATTTTTACATCCCACCAAAGACAAGTTTCATCACACACAAGCCTATCATGAGGTTGCATTTTTAGACAGGTGCAAAGTGTAATCACAATCATCATTAATTTTAATTAAACTCAATTAATTAAACCATTTCTAATTACCAAGTATCAACTGTAGCTTCAAAGATAATTATTTTATTAAAAAAATAAACTTGAAGTTGGAATCCCAAAATTATTTAGAAGTGCACTTTAAAGAATTAATTCTTAAAAACATTTAAAATCACAATAAGAAAATTGAAGATTGCATAAATACAAACAAAAGTTCAAGCATTTAAAACATATCCAAACATGAGTAAAATAGACATTTTAACAATATGGATACATCCATCTTAGCTAAAAGCACATTATATCGCATATGAATACAACCCATGGGCTAATAACTTGTATGGTATAGTCTGTGTGACTAAACTAACCCCATTCTTCAATTATAAAAAGCCTAGTCCTTACTCAAATTTCATGTTATCATAATTGTCCAACCTTATGCTCAACCCGTACCTCACATATAGAGTGTTAGCAATGCTAAGCACTTAGTAATGAAGTGTTGCCAATCAAGTGTGCAAACTCAATGAAAGTCATACCGTGTGAATTTACTATTTTGACCTTCTACTATTTTAGAGTGAACTCCCACCCTTTATGATCATGTAAATTCAAACCTCATATGCAAATATAAACTCGTGTGTATCATAACAATTCATCATCACTATCATAATATCCTAAATTTGCGTGTTCATTACAATTCATACAATAACACAATTGTCACAACTCCTCATATCAACATGATAAACTCATAGTCAATCAATATTTACAAATCATGCCCAATATTATGTGACATTTATATAAGCAAAATTATCAAGCATTTCATTGCAGCTAGGCATGCTTAACATTCATATAATCCATAATCCACAAATTTGTTGGTAAGTCTATATTACTCATTTCAAGCCATTGATAACATAGCATAAATTATGATTGCAAACACTATAATATACAATAATTAAATTTTTAGTTACCTCAACCCTTGAATTTACTACCCCAAGAGTGTAATTTTAAATTTTCAAGACAGTTTTTTATTAACTCGAGCTCCGAAATACTATGGTAAACACACGAGTGTTATAACACTATTAAGTTAATACTAATATATTAAATGGATGCTAAGTAGTATTTTTACATCAAGTTAAAAAAAGGCTACATACATCAAATCGGATAAAAAACGCTCTGGAAAAGACATTTGTTGGATTATTCAAGAGGCTAAAAGCAAGCATTCATGATTAGGCTTGACAGTCTATACCTCTTAATGAGTCCTTGATTTCATCTTGATGCAGCCTAAATTGTAATGGACGTTTTAATGACTTCATCTTTATGATTGGGTTTTAATGGACGTTTACTTTGATGGGATTGTTCCTTATCTCTGCGTGCACAGATTGAATTCTAAATAGCAACAAAAAATAATTAGGAAGCTTGTCGTGCAATTCTCTACTGTTTTTTTCATTTAATTTTATTGATAACAAAAAATATTACACCCACTAACCATTAAGAAGAAAAAAAACAAAGCAATAAAACCTGAGTACAACCTATTAAAACATAAGAACATAAAGCATTAAAACCTAACTACAACGTACAAGTTAAAAAGAAATAGAAAGTAATAAAACCTAAATACAACCTAAACAAAACAAACTAGAAAAAATTAGCCAATACCAAACTCATCCATTTTCCTACAAGCAAACAATAAAGAAAAAGGAACTTTAATCCCATAAATGCAAGTAAGATGTTCAATAAAGAGAATGTTGCTTAAGTAAGCCATCTTGTCGAACACATTACCTTAACACATAATGCTACTAAACATCTTGTAGTCCTATTAACTTAGCGACACATTAAGGAGAAAACCAATTTACCTGCTAAATTTTTTTGGAGAAAACAACTCCTTAACTAAATCTACATATTGCCACTCACCAACTACTCTCTTCTTACCTATAAGTAGATTATATAATTCTTCACAATCCATTTCTAAAACCACATTACTAGATCTAAACCTGCAAACAGATAGCAGACCCTCTTTTAAAGCAAGATATTTAGCCATGAAAGGGGATGATGCATTCACCTTCATATGCAATCTACCAATCATATTACCATAACTATCACAGCACACCACTCCTACACAACCCGCATCAATTGCTTGAATGAAAAATCAATATTTATTTTAATTTTTTCCTACATAAGAGGGATCCATGATAGCAATCTGACATTCCTATCACTTTGACCTTGCATTTTAGAAACTTCTTTCTTTATTACTTGAAAGCATTCCAAAACCATATTCTGGGCATCACATATCGCCACTCTTTCCCCATTAAAAACCTAAATAGATATGTTTTGAGATGTACCCACTTAAATGTCACGTGACTTAAAAAAAGTTGGCAAAAAGTGCCAACTTAAGTAAATAACCGTCAACAAGCAGCATCTGAATGGTAAGACAACAAGGCATTGTATTTTAACAATAATGAACAAAAATGATTCAAAATCAAGTTTAGAACACCCACATATCCTACGTGAAGAGTTCAAGGATAAAAATAACTTTTAACTATTAAGCAACGTCTTAATTATCTAAGAAAAAGCTTAAGTAAATGTGGTATATCAATTAAATATGAAAAAAAATTTAATTATAGAAATAAAAAAAAATGGCATTCATGGTTATTCTCAAAGTATGAAAATTCAAGTTAACCTCATCCGATTGAATTGGTAAATCATTAAATTGGTATCTTGACTAATTTAATAAAATATTTTTTTATGATTGATTTAATTACAGTTCGATTATAATTTTAACCAATAACTCTTGAATCAATAGCTTGATCCGTTCAATTTTCTTGATTATTCTCAAATGTGCTAGCTGTTAGTTGTCCCTAAGCTGTATTATTTCGTCTTATTTATTGCGGGAAATATTTTGTCATATACACATACCATTGATATGTGGCCATGACTTCCGTGAACAAAAAGCAACATGCATGTCTTTTTTTGGACAAAAAAGCAACTCGTATGTTATAATATACGTATATGTATATGCACACGTAGATTGTCGGCCAAATATGATAAATTATGCACATAGTTTGAGTATAGCTTAAAAAAAATGAGGCCGAGCTAAGAATTAATCCTTTTAAGTCCTTAAGAAATCTTAAGGACTAGCTTGAAAATAAGGATGAAAATTGACAAGCAATTGAAAGTTTAAATTCAGTCATTGTGAATGTAACAATTTATATTGAGAGACATTTGCTCTTTGCTTCACTAAAAAAAATTTACTTGAACTGTCAACAAAATTTACTTCTTGTACCCAAAAAAAATATAAGATTTATTTGAACCCTCTTGCTGTGTTTGGAAAGGGCTGGTTCCTTTTGATTAGTTTTAAATTTATTTTTTATGAAACCAATGACAAAGAATTAATTTAAGATATTTATATTTTTTGTGCATCAATAATTCAATATCAGGTTTCAAACATTGTTATTATTGATAATGATAAAATGTGGTGTCTTTGTTTTATAAATTATGATTTAAATTATGAATAGTTATCTGTTTGTATATTTAATTATGGTTTAAATTGTTTCAAATATGGATTATGTTTTAAATATGAATTGCACAATTATATAATTTATTTGTTTTATTTAAAAACTTAAAAAAAAAAAGTTAAAGGCCGGCTTATAGCTCCAGGGATATAAAACATTGGGCCTAAAAAAGTTAGGCCCTCCTATATAAATGGGCCTTTTAACCTTGATCTATTAAAGACAAATGTTTATAGACAACACTAAATTTAAGTCATGAATGTTAATTATAATGTTTTGGGAGTTATAAGGAAATTAATTCAATTCAATTAAAATACAATCAAACAAGTGCATCATATATTAAGGATAATGTGTGTGTGGAACTATAATTTATTTTTGAAATGCAAATCCATCATATAGGCTTTTTGTGTGTGTGTGTGTGTGTGTTTTTTTTTTTTTAACTGTGTCCATGCCA